GAGAGACTCCCAGTGGAGTAGAGCAACGACACTGTGCTGTCATAAAAGTAACGTGGCTGCGTCCATCTGTGTATCCGATTCACCCTTCTCCGTGTGATAATACAGTGAGATAATGCAGTGCCTACTCCTCGAGGAGGCGGAAGTGAAGGAGGGAGGCCCTATGATACGGCCTTTTGATAAGTGTTAGGCTACTGTGTAACTCAGCAGAGCACAGTCACTGGGATACAAAATGACAACTGATTTCATAGCTTAGACGGCTACTGGGTGACTAAAGGGAAGGTAGTGTCTGCCTCATGGATACATTGGACAAAGGGATAATTTATGCCTGGGCAGGAAAGAACAGGACAAGGAGGGAGAATTCATCATGCTGTTTGTTATTGGATTATAATTAAACATTTAGGCATTGTTTATTTCTAGAATTTTTCCTTTTTTTTTTTTTAGTGTCCCATGAAGTATTTGGAATAATTTTTTTTCTTTTTTAACTTATTTTTTACATTCCAATCCCAGTTCCCCCTACCTTCTCTCTTCCTGCTCCCCACTCCCCTTGCCCCACCTCCCATCTGCTCCTCGGAGAGGATACGGTCTCCCCTAGAAAGTCTACTATGTCTGTCTGTCCCATCATCTTGTTGAGGCAGGACCAAGTCACACACCCCCATGTCTAGGCTGAGCAAGGTTATCCCTCCATATAGAATGGGCTCCACTAAGTCAGTTTGTGCATTAGTGTTAGGTCTTGGACCCACTGCCAGTGGCCTCATATATTGTCCCAGCCTCACCATTGTCACCTATATTAAGGGAGGAATTTTCTATTTAATATTTTGGGGGCTGCAATTAAGGGCAGGGAACTAAAACCGTGGAAAGCGGTATTCTAGATAAGAGTGGTCAGGGGACAACAGATATATCTACAATATAGCTCAGGCACCTAAGGCTCCAAGATCACTGTGAAAGAAAGAGGTAGAAGGATTGTAAGAGTTAGGTGGACAGGGAGTTTGCTGGGATTGTTTCCTAAGAATGCCAAAAGCTACACCCATAAGGTCTTGCCAACAGGGACTGGAGAGATGGCTCAGAGGTTAAGAGCACTGACTGCTCTTCTAGAGGTCCTGAGTTCAATTCCCAGCAACCACATGGTGGCTCACAGCCACCACATGAGATCTGGTATCCTTTTCTGGTGTGCAGACAGACATGGAGGCAGGATGTTGTATTCATAATAAATAAATCTTAAAAAAAAAGTCTTGCCAACATAGCTGCCTCAACATGAGTTGAACAAGACAACAACATGGGTAAGGAGAGCCCCACAGGCCTCAAACCCTACACACAGAACTATGTGTAACTAAGGAATGTTAACCAGTGGGAGAGACCGTCTTCCCAGTGAAAAGTCCACCACCTGATTATTCAGCATCAGATAGTCAGACTTGAAAATGTGTGCCTACAAGTAACGTTACACAGACTGAGCAGGTTGTACTTGTGTATTTAAGAGTGTCTATGTTGTTACATGCACATATGTATACATATATAAATGCATATGTGCATGTAACAACGATTCTTAAAAAGGAGGCCATGAACTTGACAGGGAACAGGGAGAGTTTGGAAACAGGAGGTGGAGAGGGGAAATGATGAGGAAGGCAGGATGGGCCTGTGAGAGAGAGAGAGCAATGAACTGTGTTGAGGACATGCTAGGCAGGAGTTATCAACCGGCTGTCCAATAGAAAAATAGCCTTAAAAGTCATGGATTTGTAGATGGAATTAGAACACATAGGAGTAAAATAAAGATATGCAAGTAGTAATCACAGCACTCGGGGGGCAGAGGCAGGCAGATCTCTGTGAGTTCAAGGCCAGCCTGGTTCTACAGAGTGAGTTCCAGGTCAGCCTCCAAAACAATAGAGAGAAACCCTGTCTCAAAAAAAAAAAAAAAGATATCCAAGTAAGCCATGGGGATGGGCTCAGTAGCAGAAGCCCAAGAGACACTGTTATCTATAGAGACCCAGGGGACAAGGGCAATGCAGGGGAGAGGAAGGGAGTGACTTAGAGAAGGAGTCCCCGGACGTGAGGGAAAGAGATGTCATGAAGTGAACTGACTTTTCTTCACACAGCTTCCTCCCCACTCCCAGGAGAGGCCAGGCATTAAAGCCAAGGGGCAAGCTCACCTCGTCAACCAGTAAGAGCAATGCATATTGAAGTCAATGAAGTCAAGGTGGCTGTGGCTCCTTCTTCTCTCTGGTCTCTCAGCATTTTCCTCAATATCTGACTCCAGGGTTTTTTTTTGTTTTGTCTTGTTTTGTTTTGTTTTTTTTTGAGACAGGGTTTCTCTGTATTGTTTTGGAGGCTGTCCTGGGACTTGCTCTGTAGATCAGGCTGGCCTCAAACTCACAGAGATCCTCCTGCCTCTGCCTCCTGAGTGCTGGGATTAAAGGTGTGCGCCACCAATGCCCAGCTACTGACTCTGGGTTTTTATTATTTAGACCAATTAAGAATTCCATTTACAATCTCTAGTCTGTAACGAGCTTTCTTTCCACCAGCCTGGTTCCAGTGCCACATCAACCCCAAATAATAGACAGAGACTCTATTAGTTACAATGTTGTCGGCCAATGTCCAGGGCTTCTCATTGGATAGTTCTGTCTTAAGTATTAACCCATGACTACTAATATATTATTTCTATAAGGACTTAGCTTTCCTAGATGCCCTCCTGATGCATCCTTTCCACCCGGGAGATCACATAGCGGCTCCTACTCTTGACTACATTTCCCAGAATCCTCTTCGATTCCTCGTCCCACCTATCTTGCTCCCCTATTGGCCAACAGTGTTTTTTTAATCAACCAGTAGGACAACATATACACAGAAGGACTTCCCCCATCACTAGTCTAAACCATACCTGATTTCAGAAGTGACATCATGATCTCATGATACAGCTCGCAGAGTTCTTCCAAGGCCATCCCCAAACAGACTTCAGAATAAGACATCAGAATACATCTTCCCAAGATGACAACATTAAATATATGTATGTTTGGCCATTAAAAAAATAGTGTGTGGGGGGGAGGGACTACTGTGGTGTAGGTAAGAAACAGCAGTGTTGTGAACTCTGGAGGCGGGAGTAAGATCACATGGGCACAGCCGTGATCACTGACTGGGAGCAGGAAGAGAGGCAGGTGAGCAGGGTGAGCCTCAGGTTACAGGATGCCCATTACCTGGGAGTCCCCCCTCAGTTTTGAAAAGCTGCTTGAAATGAGGCATTTGGATGTTGCTAAGGTGTTTCACAAGAGTAGTTTAGTAGTTTTACTGAGATCGAGGAGACCACCAAAGTACCCAGAAAACAAATGATGGGCCTGGCGTCCAACATGAGAGTTAGTCTTCTCTTTGTTGACCAGAGAGTTGAAAAGAACCAGCTTACATCGAATGTATCTGGGCTCACAGCTTGAGGAGACATGGTCCACTGTGTCAGGGAAGTGTAGAGAGAAGCCTTTTTCTTGTCTGCCGTTTGGTTTTTCCCCACAAGTCGCCTGGGCTCTGCCGCGTTGTAGTCCCCAAATGACACACAAGACGCTGTATTAATTATGAAGCTGTTGGCCTTGCTTGTTTCTTATTGGCTATCTCTGACTTAAGTATTTGCCCCATAACTGTCAATCTAAGTATTTCTCTTACCAGAGAAAAGGGTCCGGGCTTCTTACCTCTATGGCGGTTACATCTTGACTCCCTGTGTTTCTCCTACCCAGAGTCCCCCTCGACTCCTAGTCCCACCTATCTTGCTTCCCTATTGGCCAACAGTGCTTTATTGACATATACACAGGACTTCCCCATCAGGGAAGCATGCCACAGCTGATCCCACCATACAGTCAGCAAGCTGAGAGAGACGGATGCTGCCAAGCATCTTGGTTTCTCCCTCGTGTTCAGTTCTCAGGCCCAGACCTGCCTAACTTCACTCCTCATAGACCACCCTGGAAACACCAATAGACAAGTCTCCTAAACCTGGGTGATCTGAAATCTAGTCAGGTTGACAGTAAAGGCTGACCATTACAGCAGGCTACCTCTTTCACTGAGAGAGAAGAGAAACACTGGGTACAGACACAGGCATGTCCGTGGGGCTCTACGGGGAGATGAGGGAACACAGGCTGCTGCCCTTTGTAATCTCCATAAACCAAGATGCGGGAGAGACAGAGGCACAGACAGAAGACAGCAAGTGTATGCAGGGGCCTAAGACAGGAAGATAAAAGTTCAAGACCCACACAGGCTACAAGGTGCATTTTGAGCCACCGAGGCAGCTTAGTGAGATCCTGCTTCTAAGTAAAAATTCAGAAAGGGGCGGGGCTACAGGTCAGTGGTTGTGAACCGAGGCCCTGAGTTTAATCCCCAGGGCCACAGAAAGGAGGAAGAAGTAAGAGAAGGGTTAAATAGAGGAAATATGCAAAGTAACTGTGGAGACAGAGAGAGAGCCTACCTAGCACAGGAGAAAAACCTTCTTTCGTAAGCAGTCACTAGTGGACCAAGCACTTTCTTCAGAAAGCAGAATGTGCTGGGGAGAGGAGGGGCATTAACTGGTAATGACATCAGACACTCGGGGAGAAGGAGGGGTATTAACTGCTAACAAGCATCAGATACTGGGGAGAGAGGGGTATTAACTGGTAATGAGCATCAGACACTGGGGGAGAAGGAGGGGCATTAACTGGTAATGACATCAGACACTCGGGGAGAAGGAGGGGTATTAACTGCTAACAAGCATCAGATACTGGGGAGAGAGGGGTATTAACTGGTAATGAGCATCAGACACTGGGGGAGAAGGAGGGGCATTAACGTAATGGCATCAGACATTGGGGGAGAAGGAGGGGTATTAACTGGTAATGAGCATCAGACACTGGGGGAGAAGGAGGGGTATTAACTGCTAACAAGCATCAGATACTGGGGAGAGGAGGGGTATTAACTGGTAACCAGCATCAAATTCTACGCTCATTCTCACTCAGAACAAATGAATCTGCATGGTGTCGGTGTTACAGAAATCACACACTCTGTGTATGTAATCTTGAAATGACAAGATGAAATTTATTACCCTGAAAGAAATAGGTACCTACTGCCTTTGGTGGAAACAATAAGGAAAAAAATTAATCAGCAGGAATTCTGCTCATTGGCACTTCAACGACACCATTTCCTTTCTTTGAAATCCGTCTGGACGTGATCACCGGGGCAAGCAGGCCTTTGCAGACCCAAAGTACACAAGCCAGTTAAGAGACAAATAGAGGAAATGAACCCTCCATAAATCTGTCAGCCAGGGGGAGCCCATTCCTGCAGTTACAAAGGCCTTATCTGCCCCTGGGTGCTGTGTTCCTCTCTGCTTCCTCAAGCCGGTGGCTAGAACCAGAGTGAGTGCTAGGAGAGGTGGGCGTGGCTTCCGGCTGTTGTGATTTCAGAAGAACTCCGTGTGCCCAAGTCTCTGGTGACAGTGAATTCAGTAGCTCCCAGGGGCACCACGCAGTGGATAGCGCTTCCTTCCTCAGAATTTGCCTTTAAGCTGTCCCTTGATGAGGGAAGAGAGTTAGCGTCCAGCTCCCGACATTTTTCTTCTGCAGCAGACATCTCCAGTACCGTGCTGCGTCTCCTCCTCCGAGGTCCTTCCAACACATTATCTGATAACATTGGAAAGGGTGACTCCAAAGACATAACGCGGTTATTTGGGAGCCTTAAGAGGACACCCAGATAATCACCATTTGGACTACTGTATTTTGGTAACAGTATACTTACTGTTGATATAAAATTGATGTATTTAGTAGGTGTTACCAAAGCAACCTTTCATTCACATTGTTAACATACCGGTGATGCCCTCACTCTTGGGCAATAACCTCCTGCTGCCAGACTGAACAATGGTTCCCCAAAGGTGTGCATGTCCTAAGTCCTAGAGAGGTGTCACACTGTTAGAAAGGGCTTTGTAGACACACAGTCAAGGGTCTTGGGAAGGGAACACTGCCCTGGACTAGCTGAGGGAACTCACAATAATGGTGAGAGTTCTTAGGAGGAGGCATCTGGTCCACAGTCAGATCTGATAGCAAAAGCAGAGCTCAGGAACTAGGGCAAGGACTGAGAGAAGCTTCTAGAAGCTGAAAAAGACAAAAGAAACGTATTTTTCCAGAAGGACTGTGGCCCCGGCATTTCATTTAGCCTTTAGACATCCAGAAGTAGGAAAGAATAAATGTGTGTGTGTGTGTGTATGTGTGTGTGTGTTGTAGGATATTGGTTTGCACTGACAATCCAAGATGGACAATAAAGTTAAACCTTGAATCAAGGGGTGGAGTCTACAACTGGCTGACCAGAATTAACTATAGAGATTTTGGAGGCTCAGATAAAGAGGTACAGGAAGAGATATGCAGGGAGAGGCTTAGGAAGATTTTTTTTCCAAATCTGGGAAGAAGAAGAGAAAAGTCAGTCTATGGTTTCTCTGCTGCTTTCTTGATCTGTCAGGTAAGCACCAATATCTGACTCCTGAGTTTTTAATTGATAAAATAATCATTTATATTAAACACACATTGTGTGTCCTTTTAATTTACTACAACTTGTTAGAACAAAAATAGGGAACAAGTTATTCATATTTGGTAAACACCCTGTTCATGTATATCATAGCTGAACCCCAATGATACAGTCTGCCATTTGCCTCTACAAGTTCTACCAACCATGTCGAAATATTAAGAAGAAAAGGAAGGAAAGGAGAGAGAGAGAGAGAGAGAGAGAGAGAGAGAGAGAGAGAGAGAGAGAGAGAGAGAGAGAATGTGTTTAAAATCAGGTATGGTTACAATCCCAGTGAAGGAAGAATGTATGTGACTATGAATATAAACCCAGCCTGGACTAAATAGAAGACCTTATTTCAAAAGGCTGGGTGGTAGTGTCGCACAACTTTAATCCCAGCACTCAGGAGGCAAAGTCAGGCAGATCTCTGTGCGTTCGAGGCCAGCCTGGTCTACAGAGAAAGTTCCAGGACAGGCTCCAAAGCCACAGAGAAACCTTGCCTTGAAACACACACACACACACACACACACACACACCAGAAAACAGAATGATTGTTAACATGAAGAGACACAGCAATGGCTGTGTGCTATCTTTTCAAATGACATTAAAAGTAAACTGACTCTCACCATCCTCTGCAGATGCTCTTAGAACATTAGTGCACAGACACATGATGAAAACAGCAGCTGCCACCAAAATGGTGTCAGGAACTTTCTTAATCAGCTGTTTCATTTCTGCCTTGTAATATTCTTCATGGAGCAAATTCGTTAGATTTGGGCCTTTATGTTTTCTGAGACAAGGTTTTTGCTTTATAACCCAACCTGGACTCAAACAGTAATCTTTTTATCTCAGTCTCCCAAAGTACTTACTGGGAATTCAGGCATGCATTACTAATGCATTATATTAGCACCATTACCATTACCATGCATTGAAGTTCTTTAAAATATTACCCATTTATTGTGTGTTGGGAGGCAGGTCCCTGCAAACAGGCAGAAGCCAAGGACAACTTTTTTTTTTTTTAGATTTTTTGAGACAGGGTTTCTCTGTGGTTTTGGAGGCTGTCCTGGAACTTTCTCTGTAGACCAGGCTGGCCTCGAACTCACAGAGATCCACCTGACTCTGCCTCCCGAGTGTTGGGATTAAAGGTGTGTGTCACCACCACCCGGCAAGGGGACAACTTTTAAGAGTCTGTTCTCTCCTTCCAGAAATATGTGGATCCTGGAGATCAAACTTAGGTCATCAGGTTCAGTGTCGAGCACTGCACCCCAAGTCATCTTCCCAGGCCGAGCACTGGGTTTTGGTAACAGTGACTGACAGAGCCCCTCTCCCATGGGCATGCCACTGCACTGACTTACTTCCTTCCGTTAACCAGGCTCCAACCGGAGGCTTCTCGCACCTCTCTCTCTCCGGTGACACCGACGGCTTGTCCAAACCCAGGCAGCCTTGAACTAGGCTGACCACTGCTATAGTTAAAGAAAAAAAAAGTTTAAAAAAATTGTCAATAAATGAGATCCTAAGCTGGCCAGCTGGGACAGTAAGAAGAAACCTTTTGCTTTTGCATCAGAAGTGTCGACTCCTTGGGTTAGTCTCCGGGGTTCCGCAAACCTGGCACAGCAGTAGCAAACTCGGGTGCAGTGTTAGTGGGAGTCTCCTCAAAGCACACTCAAGAAAATAGGACTTTTAATCTGAGCGCGTGCGTGTGTGTGTGAGTGTGTGCGTGCGTGTGTGTATGTGTGCCCAGTCTGTGTGTCTGACTGTGTGTGTGCCGTAGTGAGCAGCCTTATATACAGACTTACAACGCGGGGAGAAACCCCAGGTGTAAGAGCTCGTGATTTCCTCGTGCTAGATGTTGTCATCAGGCAGGCAAGGCCGGGGCTGTAAGCCAGGACTAGCGAGCAGGATGCACCTGTGGCTATCAGCTGACAAGCAATGCACAGAGATCTATGGGGGCTGGGACCCAACACTACAGAGCGAGTTACAGGACAACCTCCAAAGTCACAGAGAAACTCTGTCTCAAAAACCACCCCCCCATAAGAAAGAAAACAGAACTCCCACATGCTCCTGCAACCCTAGCAGTGGGCTTATAACCAAAGAAGACACAGACAGGCTTTCAGTGAACTCTGTGCTTCCAGGGCCGTTGCTCCCCGAATGCCACAGCGGAGACATGGAATCAACACGAACTCTGTCGGCAGAGAAGACACAGTGCGTGTATGTGTGCAATGGAATGACACCGAGCTATGGAGAAAATGAGACTCCGTCATTCAGAGCGACAGAGGTGGAGCTGGAGGGCAGTGACATCAAGTGAGCTAAGTCAGGGCCAGAACCCGAGTGCTCGTATGAGGGCGCTAAAGGCTGATGTCGTCGAAACAGAGAGTAGAACAGCAGTTATCGTAGCCTGGAAGGGTGTGAAGGCTGGAGACAGGATGGGCAGACAGTGGGTGTAGCTGCAGTTAGAGAGGAGGACTTCAAATCTGCTGGCAACACATAGGAAGGCAGAGAATACGTTTTCCACGTATATATCTATAGTTTCATCTGTTTTCATGTGTGGGTGCATATGTGTGTGCATTTGGGGGGTAGGTCAGAGTCAACCTCCTGTGGCATTCTTTAGTTGCCATCTACACTTTTTTTGGGGGGGGACAACATCTCTCATGAGTCTGGAACTTGCTGATGAAGCTGGACCAGCTGGTCAGCAAACCCAGGGACCTGCCTGTCTCTGCCTCCTTGACACTGGACTTGCAAGCCCTGCACCACCAATGCCTGATGTCTTTAAGTAGGTTCTAGGTCCTCACGCTTGTAAAGCAGCACTCATGAGTAATCTCCCCAAACCCTATGGCTATTTTTATTTCTTTAATTAATAATTTATTTTGTAATTTTTCAAGAAAGGTTTCTCTGTGTAGCCCTGGCTGGTGTGGAACTCGCTCTGCAGACCAGGCTGGCCCTAAACTCACAGAGATCCACCTGCCTCTTTTGAATGCTGGGAGTAAAGGTGTGCACCACCACCAACATGCTATTTATGTTTTTGAGTCAGGGTCTCATATAGCCCAGGCTAGCCTGGAATTCACCAGGTACTATGACCTCCTAAGCCTACTGCCTCAGTGCTGAGATTACAAACTACTCTAGGCTACAATAAATGTTATTAAAAAAAAAGCCTAAAATTACCAATTTATAAAAATGTCCCATTAGGGCAGTTGTGCTCTGTATCTGTGACAAATAATCATTCCTCCCAATAACAGAATTTGGAAGAGAAAATAGAGATGTTGCAGGAAGGAGCATAGCCCACATCCCAGCACACAGCTTGACTTGGAGTTGAAACATTCGCTGAGCCTTGGCAGGTCTGGCTGCTGGGTCCCTCATTCATGATTTGGTAGCCTGATACATTATTTGGTAGCCCGATACATTATTTGGTAGCCCGATACATTATTTGGTATCCTGATACATTATTTGGTATCCTGATACATTATTTGGTACCTGATACATTATTTGGTACCTGATACATTATTTGGTACCTGATACATTATTTGGTATGTCTAGCATCTTTTTTTTTTTAACCACTAAACCACATGAAAACTTTGTGCTTAGTTTGTCTTGTCAGGGCTCCTCACTTCCACGCAGCCTCACACTTTCTCTTTGTGGGAACTGTTGTCGGATCAACATTTCAAGTGTGCTCAGTAAGCATGACGATCAATTACACTAACTACGCCAAGCAATACTTGTCTATAAGCCGTGAGCCCTAAGTGTCTGCCATTAGAACTTCACGTCTTCGACGTGGAAACGGCTTAATCTGAGTATTTTATTTCTCCTGACTGAGGTCTGTGTCTCCATCTCTGCTGCCTCCTGGAGATGTGGAGCCCCACACTTAGTCCCCATGGACTGGCTATTCTGTCTTTGTGCCCTCTGCGGAGCCCTGTGGGGAGAACACATCAACCTTTTACCACCCAGACTGAATCCCTTGACCCCAGGCCAACAAGAAACGGGAAGGAGAGGGAGGAGGGAGCCTCTGCCCCACCTGCCCCTCAGTGCAGCCTTTGGACCTTCCCATCAGGCTTTCCGGGCTCTGGTTACCCCATCTCCCTGGCTTGGCCTTCGGCCTACGGGTAGGATGAGCTGCCCACCCCTGGTGGTTTTCTGGCCCTTCCCCGTCGATGACAGATCTGTTTAAAGCTGCCTACACTGCAGACCTCCCTCCATTCCTGCACTCTAGCACATCTCCTGGGGCTGCAGTGAGAATTAAATAAGGGAAAAGGTCAGTGGGACTCAGCGACAGAGGGTGCAAACTGAACAAGATGGGCGTTCTTGTCGTTATGGATGCTCCACCCCCTCCTCCCGCTCCGCCCCCATCTCCCGCTCCGCCCCCACCTCCCGCTCCGCCCCCCATCTCCCGCTCCACCCACATCTCCCGCTCCGCCCATATCTCCCGCTCCGCCTGAAGACTAGCCTGAGGTTGGCAAGATAGTGATGGCCCGATTTCCTGAAAGTCTTGGTGCCTGGAGGCCTCATGGACCTCCTTCCGTGAAGATATCCACAGGAAGACTTGGAAGGAAGCTATGGATGGCTACCTTCGGTGGGCCAGGCGTTGGGGGTTTCCTACATGCAGGTAGACATGGAATGGAAGACTTAGCCTCAGTCCTGGAAAGAGTTTGGAATTCAGAAACTGAACGTCCAGTTAGCTCAGTTTCTTCCACATTCTAACTTCCAAGTTAGAACTTCCAGTTCAGATGACCCTCTCTGGTCAACAGGTCAGCATGCACAGGAGGGTAGACCGCCAATACACGCTTCCTGTACTCCACAGCTGGTCCCAAGCCAGCCTGCTGTCATCCGGGTTCTGAAGGTCAGGTGTGAGCCGGCTGGTCTGGTGCATGCTCACACTTACCCTGGTGGGAGCTGGCCGGAGCAGGAACGGAGCCCCCTTTGTATGAGGGGCATGAAGTACGTAGCAGGGACCCGGAGATGTGCGCTGAGGGTGGGGGTGGACATCATGACTCTGGGAACCTAACAGGACTCAGAGCTGCCCTGGCTCAACACTCTGAACTTCACATTTACCGTCTGCAAAGATTACGTCAGTGACTGTCAGAGCTGGGTCCTAGAGCAGCGGTTCTCGACCTTCCTGAGGCTGTGACCCCTTTAGTACAGTTCCTCGTGTTGTGATGACCCCAACCATAAAATTATTTTTGTTGCTACTTCATGACTGTAATTTTGCCTTTGCGAATTATAATGTAAATACCTGATATGTAGAATCTCTGATATGCAGTCCTGTGAACGGGTTGTCCTACCCCAGGGGCCGTGACCCACGGGTCTAGTGGCACAGTCTGTTAACCCAGCCCTTCAGGAAGGGTAAGGAAGGATTATAATGTTCAAAACTACCTGTGAGTTCAAGCCTTCCCCAAAAGCCTACGGAGGGCCTGGGCATGAATGCTGATTCATCAGCACCCTGTGGATTGTGAATCCAGGGCGTGCTGTCAGATCAGGGTGGATCGGCCGGTGAGTGAAGGCCGCAGCTGGAACCACACCCACCCAGTGACCTTCTATGTCTGTATCATCAACGTTGTCGTCTTAGCATACTTGGTGACAGGGAAGATGCAGGGCGAGGAGACGGATGGATGCTGTGCCCGGGTCACTGTTTCTAGTTCATTCCCAGCAAGGTCTGGTGTGCCAGGCCTGAAATCATAGGTACTTGAAAGTCGAGGCAGGAGGATAATCACAGACTCAAGGCTTGTCTGGGCTACAGAGTGAGTTCAGGATAGCCTAAGTAGCTGAGTGTGACTGTTTCAAAATGGAAAGTAAGACAGGGATTGGGGTGTAACGCCGAGCTAGGCTGGCAGAGCGCTTGCCCGCCATGCGTGTAATTATGGGTTTAATCCCCAGTGTGGAAGAAAAGGGAGAGGGAAGGAGAGAGTAGAATTCATTTCCACAAAAATTTTATGGAGAAGGTAGGGAGCTAGAACATGAAACCCTTGGTTTGACCCTCAGCACTAGAGAGAGAGAGACTGAGGGAGGAAGGGAGGGAGGGAGGGAGGGAGGGAGGGAGGGAGGGAGGGAGGGAGGGAGGGAGGGGCTAACTTTACCCTAAAGAACAAATGTACTCACCCAAGAAATGCAAAGCCCCATGCTTAGAAGCAATAAGCCCAGGGTTCTGTATTCAGTCAGAGCAGAAAGTGAGTCCCTCCCCTGTGTGGCCCGACTATATCCTAAATAATTTCTATTTGTTGACATATGTGTATAAAATGTCACCATGAAACAAACTCATTTCTTTGTATTGTAACCAAAAGAATTAACTGTAATGATAATAGTTTCCTGTGTTACAGGCTGTTTTTCCTTAATTTACTGATTCTAATATGTAAAGGGGTTTGCCTGCATGTATGCCTGTGTACCACATGGGCGCCTGGTGCCCACAGAGGCCGGAAGAGGGCATTGGTCCCCTGAAACTGGAGGAACAGACAGTTGTCAACTGCCATGTGGGTGCTGGGAATTGAACCTGGGTTCTAGGAAGGGCAATCAGTGTTCTTAACCACTGAGTCATCTCTCCAACCTCAAGTCTTTTTTTTTTCCTTCTTTAAAAAGTCCAAGGTATTTTATTACATCCTGCATTGTAGTGATACATTTTATGGTTTATTAAAGCTTGCCTGAGGAGCTTTCTGAGCTTCGCTGGCCGAGAGAGCAGGCACGGTCTCGACAAGCAGAACGACGCCGGCAAGTTCGTGGACCTGTACGTGCCTCGGAAATGCTCCGCGAGCAACTGCATCATCGGCGCCAAGGACCACACATCCATCCAGATGAATGTGGCCGAGGTTGACAGGGGCACAGGCCAGTTCAATGGTCAGTTTAAAACCTATGCTATCTGCGGGGCCATTCACAGGATGGGCGAGTCAGATGATTCTATTCTCCTACTGACTAAGGCTGATGGAATTGTCTCAAAGAACTTTTGACCAGAAGAGATGGGGGAATCTTTGTCATAAATAAAAGTGAGAAAGTGAAAAAAAAAAAAAGCTTGCCTGAGGATTCAGAAAAGCAAAGTCAGCCTCAAGCTATAGAGATCAGGCAGTGGGGATACACACCTTTAACCCCATCAGCCAGAAGCTAGGAGGTGGTGATACACACCTTTGATCCTAGGACTCAGGATTAAGAGGTAGATGGATCTCTGTGAGTATAAGGCCACCCAGGTCTACACAAGTGAATCAGTCTCAAAGAGAATTACAGCTCACACCTTTAATCCCAACATTAGGGAAGTATGTAAGACAGAAGCAAGGTCTCAGAGAGGCATTCGTTCTCCAGCCACACTGAGGAGAAGGTTACAGACTGAGGCTTGGTGAAGAGCTCATGCATGGATCAGCGTGAGCTAGAGGTGAGAGCTGTGGCCAGCTCCTTTGCTTCTCTGACCTCCAGCTTGAAGTTTGAATCCCAATACCAGTCTCTGGGTCTTTTTTTTTTCCCCTTTCTTGTTACAGTGCATGTTTCATTTAACAAGCATGGGAAAAAATAGATTTTATTCTCAAATGCCACCCTGTCTACTTCTGTCAGAGAATTGATCAATAGTCGCTGAGGTAGGGCATTTCTCAGTAGTAATTTTTGTCATAGCCGTGTATCCCAGGCATTGTGACCTGAGGGTCTTCACCCCAGAGCAGCAAGCTCAAACTGGGTTAGGGCAACTGTGAAGCCAATCTCTTTGAAGAAGTGTTGTAACTTGAAATATTTGGGGACAACAGTGGTTGCACCTCCTCTTTGCCGTATTTTAACCAATAAGGTCAAAAAGACAAGAAAAAGGCTTACTTATGAAAATAGGAAGGCCTGGTTCAGAGATAAGGGGTGGGAGGGCTGGGGGTGTGGCTCAGGGTAGGCCTTCATTTAGTCAGTAAGGGATCTTGGATTTGACCCTTGGCAAGGGAGGGGTGGGGAGAAAAGCAGGGGGGTGGACTTGGGGGTGGAACAGAGGAAGAGAGAGAGAGAAAAGGAAGGAAGGAAGGAAAGAAGGAAGGAAGGGGAAGGGAAGGAGGAGGGAGGGAAGAAGAGAGGGAGAGGGAAGGAAAGGGGAGGGGATGAACTGAGCTGGGTAGGAGAGTAAGCAAAGTCAACTGCAGGAGGAAGGGTCAGTTAGGCGACCAGGCTCTACCCACTTCCAGGTGGCTTGGGATAAGTCTCCATCAGAAACAACTTGGGGCCCGTGCGTGAAGTTAGGAACTCAAGGACCTATGCTCATTTGGGAACCCGGTGTTCCGTGGTCATCTAAAGGTCCTGAGGTGTGCAACAGTTATGCCTATGTAACCCTCAGCCAGTTTCCACGCTTATTTGAATACAAACAAAACGCTTCCTGCCAGCCCGTTAACACTCTGCCAAACAAGTTTCTCTCCACCCAAGTTAGGGAACTGTAGATAAATGCTTTGACATTTTCTTTCTTTTTTTAAATGTATTACCTTTCTGATGTTTTTAATTTTACTTATTCATTTTAATGTAATTATTAATAATTACCAAAACATTCTCTCACTTTGCTTGTCCTTCTGTCCAATTCCTTCTTTGGGACAAAATAACCTAGAACCCCTCTGGAGTGACTCACTGAACCCCAATATCCATGGATGTCACTGGCACCCATTAAATTCTAACGGTGAGTGGCTCCTCCTCCTGCAGGACTATGTGGTGGGGTAGCTGCCTTGTTTCCCAGTCTTTATCATAAATAATAAAAACCAAGACACAGATATTGGGGTTCAGGATGAAGATCAGAGAAGCAAAGAGGCCAAGCCACCAGAGAGCTGTCACCTCTACCAATGCGCAGACTGAAGGGGCGATCCACCAAGCCTCAGACTGCATCTCCAGACTGCTCCTCACCAAACCTCAGACTGCTCCTGAGACTGCACTGAGCTTCTTATATTCTCTCTTTTGGATTGATTCTCTCAAGTGGCCCAGTGTGGCCTTGAACTCACAGAGATCCATCTGCCTCTGTCTCCTGGGTCCTAGGATTAAAGGTGTGGCCACCACTGACCAGGTTCTATGGCTGTGTCTAGCTTTGCTTTGTAAGATCATAAACAACACATCCCCACACCAGTCTGCCCCCACCCCACGCACACAGAACACTTTCCACATGCAGCAGTCTGCAGTGAATCAGAAGTGTTTTGTGTCTGCCTGGTGCTGGTCATCACCCGTGTGAGGGTGATGCCACTTCAGTCTAGAAGAAACAGTGGGGCCAGACGGGAGGTAGGAGGTGAGAGTGAGGCCTCCCTCCTGTGTTGCTGCTGCTCTTGTTTTGGTTTTAGAGACAGGGTCTCATGGTAAGAGAGGGTCTCACAGTAGCCTGGATCTTGCTATGTAGACCCAGTAGAGGTCAAGTTCCATGGGCAACGTACATCTTTATTTACAACTATTTAGAGCCACAGTCCATTAGGGTTGTGAAAACTTACCTCTTCTGGTTAAACTAGGTCCAAATTGTATGGCAGCTCAGTGGTCCACTGATTGCTTAGCATTCATGAGACTCTGAGGCCAACCCTCAGTACAGAGGGAGGGGGAAGGAAGAAGGGAGGGGGGGAGAGAGGGAGGGACGGAGGGAGAGAGGGAGGGAAGGAGGGAGATTATTACATAAATCTCTAGAAGACGTGTCTAACCCATGGCCCACCAACCACATGTGCCCCAATAGCTATGAATGCCCAACACAAAACTGTTAACTTATTTAAAACATTATGAGATTTGTTTCTTGCAATCTTTTTTTTGTGCACAGGTCTCAGGCATGACAATGTCACATAAAATAACAAAGGCAGGAACCCCTACTTGTCTATTAAAATACTTAACCTGAAAACCTTGTTCAAAGTAGTAATGTTGTCCCACAAATGTTTGGTGGGAGGTAAGTCATAAAGTAGGGTTCCAATAACCCCAGACCTTGGGGCTGGAGAGACAGCTCAGCTGTTAAAAACCAGAGCGGCTCTTGCAAAGGACCCAAGTTTGAACCAATTTCACACCTACCGGGAACTCCAGCTCTGGAGAATCCCACCATCTCTTGTGGCATCGGTAAGTACCAACACTCACATGTACACACTCACACAGAGACACATAGTTAAAAAGAAACCTTAAAACAAAAAATTACGGGCTGGAGAGATGGCTCAGAGGTTAAGAGCACTGGCTAGTCTTCCAGAGGTCCTGAGTTCAATTCCCAGCAACCACATGGTGGCTCACAACCATCTGTAATGAGGTCTCATACCCTCTTCTGGCCTGCATGCCAGAACACTGTATGCATAATATAAATAAATTAGAAAAAAAAACAAAACCAAAAATTACAAACTTGTTGTAGTGATAGTCTGACACCAGCCAGTAACAATTCCCCCGAAAAATAGGAATAAATGACTATCACAAAATATACAGAGAAACAGTGTGCCCTGAACACTCTGGGAGAAGAAACAGGAAGAGACTCAAAGCAACTATGCTGGGGTTCTTCCGCACAAGATGTAAATAACTACAACATCTTTAAAAGAAAGATACTACAGGCAAAGAACAAAGCATCTTAAATATTAAGACATTTCGTAGCCGGGCGGTGGTGGCACACACCTTTAATCCCAGCACTCGGGAGGCAGAGGCAGGCGGATCTCTGTGAGTTTGAGGCCGGGCTGGACCGACAGCCTCCAAAATAATACAGAGAAACCCTGTCTTGTAAAAACAAACAAAAAAGACATTTCTTTTTTCAAGACAGGCTTTCTCTGTGTACCCTTGGCTGTACTGGAACCCACTCTGTAGACCAGGTTGGCTTCAAACTCATATGGATCCACCTGCCTCTGCTTCCCGAGTGCTGGAATTAAAGCTGTGTGCCACCACCAACCCAAAACATTCTTTTAAAGTACACAATGTTTAAAAGTCAAAAATAAAAGTATGAGTAGACAGGAGTGAGCACAGAAGAAAGAAATGTCTACAACCCGAAGAAAGAATTTGCAAATGGGAAGACAGACACAGAGAAATTCGGATCACGTCCCATACAGAGATGAAAATATGAATCCAAAGTTGAAACAGTGAGATCTGGAGTCAGCAAGCTGGCTCAGGGCCAAGGCTGACAACCTGAGTCCAATCCTGGAGCCCACACCGTGGAGAGGGAGAACTGACTCGGGCAGGCTGTCCTGACCTCCACGTGTGAGCACACAAACACAAAACCGTGAGGTCTAATCGCCATTCCAGAACAAGGTGATGACGTAAAGGAGTAAGGAAGAGATAGCATCCATCAAGATAACAGCCGTGTTATTAGTCATGTTTCTATCGCTGGAATAGAATACCCAAAGGGGGGGGGGGGGGAAGCAAATTAAAAGGAGGAATTTCCTGTTAAAAGAAAGCAAGAAGTCAGGCATGGTGGCACAGTTCCGCAGTTCTAGCTAGCACTTGGGGGCTGGCAGCAAAGTCACATCTCACAAATAAACCAAAACAAGACAAAACAAAACAAACCACAGCAAAGGAAGCAAGTGAGGGAGGGAAAAGGGGGGGGGGTCTACCTATCAAGTCGGAGGCCCTAGGCTTTCTTTCCAGCGCGACTTAAATGCTGAAGTAGATACTTCAAAAAATTAAAACATTTAAAGCTGTTACTCTTAAACAAGGAAAGCAGAGGGGACCTGCTCTTTAGCCCAGGCTAGCCTCCCAAATGCTAGGTTACAAGCCTGCCCCACATTCCTGGCTCCACTGTGTTGCTAAGGTTGCTCTGTTCCTGCTTCTGTCAGCCCTGACTGTAGAGGAACAGGATGCTACTGTGCGTGAGCAGTTCGCTACAGGGCACACAAGAGGGTTCCCAACGACTGTGGGCAGAGACTGTGGGCAGAGACGGGACCACCAGACACTGAGGAGAAACCCGGTGACTGCTTCATCCCATTGGAGATCAGTTTGAGTCTCTTCTCTCTTTACAGTGGCTGAGGCATTTGGCAACCTCATTAACTGTGCATGAGAGTCCCACTTTTCCTGCCAGCACTTGACGATGGCAGCTGGAAGCAACCATTCTAGTCCTTATGCAACTCTT